AGGCACATTATTCATTTGGATTATATTGTTTCCACATCGTATACTTCTATGAAACTCTCTAAGAACAGACACCATGATAAATACAAAGCCACTCGATTGTAGAAGACAATTCTAAAGAGAAAAATGTGAATTGCTATCAGAAGATGCTTATAATTTTTTTTAGAATGTTCTCAAAACCTGGATCAAGAAAGATGAGCCTGCATTAATACATACACGCACAATAGCTATTTTACACAGGAATTGGAAACACCTATAGGGCAAAATCTACCTGATTAGAGAAACAGTAAGTTAGAAAGGGAGAAAGGCTCGAAAATAGATAACAGCAGTAAAGCAACATACAGGAAAACATCTTATTTCTTGTGTTAATGTAACATTATGTACACAATGTAAAATTTTCCTTAACACTGGGTGGTGATTTAAAAAGCTAGAAGGAGAGAAAGTTGATGTGATACATGTTTTAAGATTTGTCCATTAACCATTTTTCATCTAGTTATTTTTAACTGAAATTTATCAGTTACTGATGGTATTTTCAAGAGTTCATTGTAGTCTTATTTGTTGGTGGTAAATAAGCAGGAACAAGTCAGCTTTAAATGTGGCCATTGATTTGTTTTACACTCAAGGAGATGAAAACTGTGGGCTGTATTTAGACAATTGGGGAATCACTTGTAGAAATATGCAGTGGTAGGCGGAGGGGTCTTTGGGATCGTATGGGGAACAATATATTGTTTGAGAGACGCTCTGGCCAAAATGGTTCATATGACCATAATGACAGGAGTTCTACATTTGAGTAGAGAGGCCATTTTAACATCTGTAACTGGTGTGCATGGGATTGCTGCTAGCGTGCTTTGTTCTGAAGGCTGTTGGGCCAATTCTTGTTTGCTGTAAAACTTTGTTTATATTCACCTTGCTGTATTTTAAAGCCTTTTCAATTTGAGGCAGTGAGTGGGAGCCTGGATAAGATCCTTCAGCTGAGCTCTCGGTTCTGTTGCAGTGAATCCTGGTGGTGAAATATCTTTTTGCTCTGGGTCTCTAACTCGAATGTCTTTTGGAACTCAGATGTTTATTTAGCTATTGTGTGTAAACATCTCATATATAAAGTGCCTCATATTGGGTTTAAAACTGTCAGTGAAACACTGCTTTCTGTGAGCTATGATGCATAACCTGCTTTGGATTGCTCTCTGCTTCTGTATTCTGGTGGCAGAAATACAAAATGGAAATGAATGTCTGGCACTGAAATTGTGCAGGAAATATCGTACCTGAAAATGCATGCAATTTCCTGTCTAGCGACGGCATTTCTGATATTTTCATTGCACGTATAATCCACTCTTCAGCTGAGATTTTCTTCTGAGTCTTTAGGTGTTTTTCTTTCATGCAAGACTGATAGCAGAAGGTTGCAATACAGCTCTTAAGTTTGGGGTTTGTTTTATATGGAGCTCGGGTTCCTGCTGTCTCTACAGAATGGTATTTCTGTTGTGAAGACCATGAGTTTTACACATGGGCAGTTCTGAAAATATCTCTTAAATGATATGATTTATTTAAGCTGACTCTGTGGCAGTTCACATCTTGCTGTTTAAAGTCCTTTTCCTTGAGCTCCTTGTTTTTCCCTAGTTGAGAGCGAGCTCACTTAGGAAATACATTTTCTTTACAGGAATTCAACATCCTTTAATGAACTACACAGACATTTGTGGGCACGCTGATTGTGTGTTTTTTTCATTTACTTTATGCAACTGTAAGTAACAAAGCTTAGAGTAGTTGCAACAGTAAAGGATTTTTTTTTGGCTTTTTTTTTTTATTTGGTGGCATCCCATGTTGAGGCAACTCTGACTTCACTTGGTAATTAAACCTCATTTGTGAAAGACCTTTTCCCTATTAATTTGATCCATTAAAGAAACGCTCTTTGAAGCTGGTAGTTAATCTTCCTATTTAAATTGCTGGGTTTTACTCAGATTGGTTACAGGTTAGTTTTAAACAGCAGCTAAAAATAGCAAACGGTTGTGCTATACAGCTTAAATATCTATCTACAGTAGTAGCCTTTCTAGAAGGGAAATGCCTAGTAAGAGGGAGAGGAGAGACTGCTGCTTGGACAGCACCGGTTGGTACCAACATTGCACTTTTCCTTGAGTTTTGCCCGTTGCAAAGTCAGGTAGTGCTCCAGCAGGCAGCACTTGATTCTCTTACTCCAGGATTAATTTTTAACAGCAGCGCTATGAGCTTGATTTGAGCAGCATTTCAGTCGGTAATTAATAATTCAATGGTTGTGAGAAGTTTTGACTTGTTTATGTTGAAGTCTGCTGCTACGTATGCTAAAACCAGGCAAAAAACTAGGAACTAGCTGAAATCTTTTCATGAACATTAAGCTTTCAGAAAGAAAATACAAGGGAAAG